CGCACAAACCAAAGATTCGGGCGTTTGAAGGATTTGGGCGTCTTCACATTTCGGGCTTCCTTCTGCTCCAGACGTCCCTGGAGGCCCCAAAACGGCCCCAGAATTGCTCAATACTCCTCCACTGCGGCCTCAAGACAATCCAAGAATGCCCATAGACGGCTCAGGACGGCCCCAAGAGAGCCCCAAGCTGGCCCAAGAGGGCCTCCGGAGGTCCCCTCGACAGCCTTAGAGAGCCCCTCGACGACCCAACAAGATGGCGCCAACGACCGTCCCGCGACGGCTGCAAGAGACCCCCCGGACGGCCAAGAGGGCCCTAAGACGGGCCAAAAGAGCCCCAAGACGTCCCACAAGGGGCCCAAAAGACAGTCCAAAGTGGCCCGAAGGAGCCCCCAAGACTGCCCCACAGGAGCCCTAGGCAGGACAGAAGAAAGGGAGGAAGACGACAAAGACGAGAAGAGAACCCCCGCCAAGACGCGGGAGAACGGGTCACAGACTGGTACATCTGGACCAAAAACAGAAGAACATCCTTCAATAACATGAGACCCTCCGCCGGCCATACTGAAGAGCATCCGAGGGTGCCCTCCCCCAGAATGCACAACAACATGCAACAGTCACGAAGAACATGAGGGCACCCTCCCCGAATCGACCTCGATCGTATACCTCGGTCCGGCCGTGCAGCTCCCCACGCCTCGGGTCACGGAGCGTCGCAGGTGCTGGTCTCCTGTGCGACTCCCCGCACAGGTCGCCACCAAAGGTGCTGGGCTTGCACGGCAGCGGGACTTGCAGTATGCAGCTGGATCGCTGGATGACCTAGGAAGTTTCCTGGGGTCCCGCAGGGGCCCAAGATAAACATACTGGAACCATGGCAAAACGGAAGAACCATGGTGAACCCATGGTAGAACAGTCCTGAGGACACTTCGATGCAGTACTGGCGTGGTGGCAGGACTTGCCGCGGTCCACTCTAGAGGTAATGCGGTACTGCCAATCTCAAGACAAGGGAGTAGTGAACTGGTGATAATCGCAGTTTTCTTCCCCCTGCACAAACGTCCACGGGGACTGGTGAGAACCACCTGGGGCGCTGATGAGCCAGAAAGAGGTGGTGCCAACAGAGGGCATCATAAGAGCCACGGACAGGGCGGGCGAAGGACATTGGCATACGTATCAACTAAGGGCAGCACCAGGCCTGAGGGCCGTCGGGGACGTGGCTGGCGAGGGAGACTCCGAGCAACGCGGTGCTCGTACTTCCGACCCACAGACAAACCTTGCAGTTCAAACACACGTATCGGGGAATGTGGGAGAGGAACATTTTTCAGGACCTTGGAGGGCTGAGTTGTGAAAAACGGGTTGGAGCTCGCCATTCCAATGACTTTCACCACTGCAGCCCTCCAACGCCCTGGCCTGTCGCTCTCGCGCGTCTGTTCTGGCTGATCCAACCCTCCAAGATTCAAGAGGGGCTGGAATTTGAAAAAAGATGTTGCGTGATCCGCGTCCCCCGCAGAGGCGGATAGGGGTGAAGGGCTGCTCGGGGCCCGAGAACTCCACCGAAAGGCAGTAGCCCGTGGCGGACTCCGATTTTCCCCTCGAGAACAACCATGAGAGTCTTTGTGCACCCCAGACTTGGCGCAACCTCGGGGGCCTTCGAGAGTGGGGTTAGGTCGGGCATGCCCCCCTACAGGCGGATTTTGGACGAAAAACAAAAGTAGTCACAAAATACCCCCAAATGGTCAAGAAAAGTCAAAAGATCGCCCCCATATCATTTGTTTACTACTTTTGAAGATCCCCCTATAAAGGGACGTGCCCGACGTGCGAGCGGGGCGTGGAAGCGAGGAGGCTCACGAACATCATGGCCCCAGGGCCCGTGCGCGGACGATGGGGGGCCAGGAAGCGCGACGGAAGAAGGACCGGGCGCCCCGAAATCTAAGCGATCCCATGGCTCTGGCCATGCTACGACCGGACCTGGGACAGAAGAACATGATTTGAACAAGTGTGATACACAAGTGTGATACAAAAACAACAACTCAGCACACTTGCTTTTGGATCACACCTGTTTTTGTTATCACACTTGTTGCTTATCACACTGCTTCGGTACATGAGACCCTCCGCCGGCCAAACTGCAGAACGCTCGAGGATGCCCTCCCCCAGGAGGCACAAGAGCGTCCAACACTCGGGTACCCTCCCAGAGCCGACCTCGATCTTCTACCTCGGCCCGGCCGCACCCACATACGCCCAGTCCTCACACCCCCCTCCTGGACGCCCACGAGAAACCTGGCGCAACCCCTGAGCACTGCGCGGGCCCCAGGACGAGCCCCTGCCACCCTCGGCCCCCCCCTGGCATCCCCCATGCCCCTACGCCACGCACCGGGCCCCCTACGCTGCGAGCGGGCACCCCCGGCCTGGCCACGCGGGGGGGCCAGACAGGTCGGGAAGAATGAGAAGAAGATGACGGTAATTGCAACGAAGACAGCCCGCTTCGAACTGGCCACCCTGTGCACGAGTGAATATACAGTCGCATGAGTCGAAACTGGATCCATTCGCTTGAATCTGCTCTCCTGGATGTCCAGAGGGCCAGAACAGCAAGAGTTACACCGCACCCGCGCAGCTCTCGCCGCGCCTCCCGAACACAACGTATTGGTGCTGATGCTGCGCTCCCTTCGGCCAACCAGCAGCGCGACCGTCTCGCGTGCTAGGCCTCTATTGGGGATTCTCCGCCGTCAGAGGCACGGGTACTATGAACCTCATGTTCATACATGTTTCTGCGCAGACGACGGCAGGTAGTTCCCACGCGTCCGCCAGCGCGCCCAGGCCATCGGGATAAGCCAGCGGACTTGCAGATGTGTCCTCTGCCTGGCGCTCGGTGTCGGAGCCATTGTGTCGACATGGCTTATCAAAAGCGCGCCGCACGCGTGAACACACAAATTACCGCGTCCGACCACAGTTGGTCTGACTTTGGATCGCGGTCCTGCCCAACTGGGCTGGCCCCGACGACGTGCGCATATGGGCGCCCCTCCGTGGCCACAGAGGGCACCCCTTCAGACGCCTGCCCCAGAGAGAAGAGGCTCGCAAGCTGACGCCTCGGTCAGGACAGCGGGCTTTACAGCGGAAGACCATAGTCTCGCGCATTGATGGCGCAGTCTGAAGAAAGTGAAAAACGCTGGCAGCGGCAGCTCGATCGACCAAGGTGGGAACGCCCATGAGCTATCATGCATGACGCTCTACCAGCGGAAAGATGACAGCGACAAGCATACATACAGACACGCACACAGACACACTTCTGACGGTCTCGGCCTCGCGCGCAGCGATGAGGCGGAGTAGGGTTGCAGCACCAGTGCGCGCGCGGCTGGGCCGTCAGGCGAGATCACTTGCATCCCGCGCTTGCTCGCAGCGAACAGATCGCCCCGGCCTGGATGGCGTGGAGGTGACGCGCCGCCCAACGCAGGACCTCCCATGCGGGGACGCGGCACGAGGCCAAGAGAAGAGGAACATCACCATCTCGGCGTGGATGGCAGGGAGGTGAAGCGCTGAACCCCGCGCGGGACGGCCTCTGCGCATCCTCAGCGGGGCAGGGCACAGACCCAGGAGAGAGAGAGCACGGGCCGAGCAAGGCCAGCAGGCAGTGCGGCGGAGCGTGGGCGGGAGGGGCCCGATGCGTGAAGGTGGAGACGTAGCCCAGGGCGAAGCGCCGCGCGGATGACAACGCGAAGAGGCCACCCAGCGGGCTGCCCGCCGGGCGGCAGCGTGCAAGGGGGGAGGAGGAGCCAGACGACGCACGCGAGGGGAGGGGGCCCGAGCCTGGGCCGAAGGAGCGGACCCAGGCGCAGTGGGAGAACACAAAGAAGCACACACAGACATACAGACACACACACACACACACACAAACAGCAAACAAACAAAGAAACGAACAACGCGAAGGAAAGCCTCACGCTGCTTGGCTGGCCTCACTGTCCCCCACCTGTCCCGCAAAAGCGACGTCTCCCTCGCTGCATCCTTCTCTCCCTTGGCGCAGCTAGAGCAATCCGTGCCAATGCATGCTCGCTGCGAAGGCCTTCCACCGGCTTCACGCGACACTTTGGCACTAAGTATTATGTGCCAATCCTGTCATCCAATGCGCCAGGCAATCTGCGCATGCACAAAACTGCAATCTCTGCTCACCACATTGCCTTCCTCGTCCCCCCTCAACTCGTAGGGGTTGCCAGCTTAGAGTCGTGGTGAGGCCCACCCTGTAAATTTAGCAACCCTACTGCACTGAGCCTGCCATTCTTCATGGATGGCGTCACATGAACATCCAACGGCTCGCGCAATCATGCCTCGGCACACTGATCGCCCTCTCCCACCCCAGAAGCTCCTCCACACCGAGTTGCCCCTGGGCGGCAGACCATACGCATGGATGTGGACTTTGAAGTCCAACCCTTGCTTGCGAGCCTCCCCTGATACCACTTCCTCGTTTCTGATGGCCCCGATGTGGCCCAACCCATACCTCACGAGAATACTCTGATCACTGTACTGGGGGCGTTGGCCCCGACGAACCGAACCGAAACGGACAGCGAGAGCGAGATATATAGCGAGAGAGAGAGAGAGGGAGAGAAAATAAAAAGAAGGAGAGGGAGAGGAACAGAGAGAGAGAGATAACACAAAAGAGCGAGACACAAAGAGCGAGAGAAAGAGGCCGGCACAGAGAAAGACAGATAACAACAAGAGAGAGAGAGAGTAGAAAAGGACGAGGAGTGCAGGACAGGAGGCCAGCAAGGAAATAGCAGGGGAAGGGAAACCGCTGCATCAAATATATCACCAGGAGACCCCGTTGCGCCCTCTGGTTTGGTCGTCGTGCTCCTCCTGCCCCTTCTCTCCTACTCCTCCCCCATCCTCCTTGACTGTGCTAGGGGTGAACAGGCGGATGGGGAGCGCGGAGGATCAGATTGGCAAGTGCAGCTGGAATCACTCGATGCGCGCGCGTGCTGGAGAGAAGAGAGGTGACAGGAGGAGGCATGAGGAGGGGGGGGCACTTGCCGAGAGCGAACTCTTCACGTCACAGCTGGTCCCTAGCGGCCCTAACGCAAGGATCGAAAGTGCGCAGCAGCGCCGCTTTGCACGCTACTCGACATTGCGGCATTAGAGTGCGTTACGAGGGAGGTAGCAGGAGCTTAAGGATGGTAATGATACTGATCGGCGGAGCGCCAAGGGGGGAAGTGAGAGAGGGGGCAGGCCTTCTCAGACGGCGGCGGGGCTTCCCAAAAGCTGCCTGAGAAGATCCCTGTGGCTTCAGAGAAGGCTTAGGATGTTCCTCAGAAGGCCAGAGGCCTTCTGAGCCTTCCGAGAAGGCCCGCCCCCATCTGCCCTTCCCCCGCCGAATGGACGCCGAGTAAGCTCAGCGAGGAGGTGCGGGATAGATGTGCGGAAAGGCACACAGAGAGGAGCAGGGGGGAGGGGGGGGGGCAGATCTCAGGCGGGGGGGGGCGGAGGGGCGCGGGAGCGCGAGGGAGGCACGAGGACAGGACTGCGGAGGCGGCAGTGCCGAAGGGAGTGAGCGATGCTGCGTGGGTGGGCGGGGAAACGCAGCAACGAGAGTCCCAAGGGAAGCAGCAGGTTGAAATGGTGGATGGGTTCCCTTTTGGCTCGTTGGTGACACGTGAACATACACAGCTTCAGATACCTGTATGTGTGCGGGTACATCCATAACGGATGCGTGTATAAACGTATTGAAAAATTGCGCATGACTCGAGCGTGCGCTTGAACCATGGTTGATCACCGTGCGCATGTGCATCCAGTCGCAAAGTACGCCTCGAGTCGTGTGTAAGTGATCGCGCGTCGTAAGACTGCTTCGCGTTCGCTTCGCCCCAACCGTTACCTCAGCTCAGCCACAGGGGAGGGGAGCAGCATGAAGGCCTGAGCGAAGAGACAGAAGAGGAGAGGGAGGAGAAGCAGGAGGCTGCGGAGCATGATGGGGGGAAGAGGGTAAAGCAACGAGGCATGGAAGGAGGACGTGGGAGAACGAGCAGAATGTAGACAGGAAGGAGCATGAGGATGGTAAAGACGGACGGAGCGGGAAGGGTGGATGTTGGAGGGAGGGGCGCACGCAGGAGAGCGATGTAGGAGAAGGAAGAGGAGAAGGATAGAAGGACGAGCTATGATGCCGAGTGGAAAGGGGAGAGAGATGTGGGGTGGGCGATGTGGGGCGGGCTGGGCGAGGGCAGGGGAAGGGGGAGGGACGAGGGGGCTTGTGAGAGAAGATGGAGGGAGGGTGGTTTGGGGGCAAGACAGATAGAGGAGCACGTTGGGGGCGGGGGGGCAGGGGAGGAAGAGAGGTGGAACGAAACGACGTCATCGTCGTTGTCGTCGTCGTCGTCGTGGCGACCTGCTCGGGCCCCCATTGGGTGGCCTCGCGAAGCGCCCTGTGCGCTCAGGAGGGCCTGTTGGGCGGCCTGGGGCCGTCTGGGCCGTCCTGGAACATCGGGCGGGCGTCTTCGGGGCCTGGTCGGCGCGTCGTGGCGGCCTCCGTGAGGAAAGCTAGGCAGTTTCTTGCCGACTTCTTGGGAGGCTCCTGGGGCTGCCGGGGAGATTACTCAGAAGAGCTACAGGAGGGCCCCGGCACGGCCCACAAGGGCCTCCAATATGTACTGGAATGCGTCGGCCAACTCAGCCGAAATCTTCGCTGTGAACAAGAGAGCATCACGCACCATCGCTAGTAGAGAAGGTTGTCCGCGCGAAGAAGGAGGTGAGTACAGCGCCCAGTACACAAGTGTTGACTTACACACGTACTCACATGCACAATGACAGGGTGCCCGATCTGAAACGAATGCTCAGCCCCGAAGACGCCTTCGGCAAATCACAACCACCTCCAATATGTCCAAAGGCAAAGCAGTGGTTTTAAAAAGATTACGTACAAAATATGTGCTTTGCTCTGAATCGGCTCGGAAGGCTCTTCAGGGGGCCTTCCTGGAGATGCCTTGGGACCATGTTCGGACCCTCTTGGGCCTTATTGGAACCCTGGGGCCTTATTGGGCCATGTTGGGGCCCTTTTGGGCTGATTCGAATGCTCTATGGCCGCCTGGCGCCCCTGGAGGCCGGTTTGGGGGGTGTTTGGTGCTGTCCTTGGGCCTTCTTGGGGCCGCGTTTGGGATCGTGTTGGCCGTCGTGGAGCCACATTGGGTGTATACTGGGCATTCGTCTGGTGATCTTGAGGCCTGAATTCAGAAGTTGATCAGAAAAAAACAACCTAAACTTCTCCCTGGGAACCATCTGGAGGGGTTTACTGGAAAGCTCTTGGGGCGTTTTGGGTGCATCGGAGGGGGCTCGTGGGCGCATGTAGGTCTGGAGGGCCATCTTGGGGGGGAACGGCTCCCCAGGCCAGTTCGGCGTCCCTCTTTGGGACCCTGTCGGGTGCCGTCTCAAGGGCCTCTTGGGCCGTCTAGGCCTGACGGGAACCAGGGAAGGCGAGGACGCGAACCGTTTTTATTTTTCGTGTTCTGTGTATGTATGTATGTATATACATATATATATATATATGATCAAGAAAACTGCGTGGATCCCCAACCAGGGTTTCTAGAAAGCTACTTGGTGCAACGTAGGTGGTGCAATTCACTTTGCCGAAGTTGAAGTTGTCAACTCCACTGCTCGCGCAAACATCCCACCCACCCACCCGCAACTAGGTTGGCAAAACCCATGCGGTGGCGATCACGATGAATGCATGGTGTTGGCTGGTGCATATCAGCGGCCGCGCTAACTCGCGCATGCTTGCGCGCAGAGGTCAGATAGTTTGGCGCGACCGACGCGGTCGCGATGGCGCTGACTGCTGGGCACATCCCAGCGGGCATTTCACTGCGAGTCGGCGGCATGGGCGGGCGCGGTGTCATGGCAACGTCGACAACGGTAGACACGATGATGATAGTAGCGGTGTGGGTGACGAGAATGACAGCGGCGACGGCACGGCCAGTGACGGCGCTGATGCTGATCACGCCGACGACGATCGACGATGACGGCGTCCTCGCGTCGGCGATGCATCGTTTTGGAAAGTGTTCGAGGTGCGCGCGCGGACGACGCGCGAGAGTGGCCCGCGTGGTATTATTTGACGCGGATCGCTCCCCCCAGTACCCGCGCCAAGGCGTTCTAATGATTTCGACATGCGGCGCGAGTGGCTAGCAGAAGTCACTGAACATGTTCACCAACTTCTGGTTGCCTTGGAATTCGCAAGAGCGCGAGCGCATGGTTTGAAAACTGATGTTGCGAAACCGTGTTTTTTTATGTCGATTGGACACTCAGTTTTGGAAATCCTAACGAAATCGAAGGTTCTGGAAGGATTTTTTGGCACGCGCGCGCGACGACACGTGCGAATGCACTTCGTTTCCCTTCGCGCGCGGCACCCACCTCGGAGCCGCGATCCGTTTTGAACCGGGAGGGCTGCAGCCCGGCGACCTCCCAACACCCCAGAACTATGTTCATAGCTCTGGCACGCCTCCTCGCCGCGTCTTTGCGGAGCGAGGCGCGGCGCCCCCGCGGAGCCTCCCGCTGGGAACGGCCTCTCAGGGTCCATTGGGCACTATCAGGCGCTGGCGCCCGCAGCCGTCGTAGTCGCCGACCCAATCAGCTCGTCGATGATCGGCCTCGGGCCCTGCTTGGCCCTGCATGGCCCCGCCGCCATCCTCGCCAGCCCGTTGGCAAGGTTCGCCTTCGGGCCTGTCGCGCCGAGGCCCCGCGCCCGCAGCGCTGCCCTCAGCTCTCCCACCCTGTAGCGCATCAGCTCGTCCCTGACGGCTATCTGCTCGCCGCTGAGTGGAACGCCGTGGAGCTCCTCGTGCTGGCACTCCACTATTCTCGACGCGACCTGCCGTCGCTGCCGAGGTCCTTCCTCATTAGTCGGCACGGTGCCTCCCGCTGCCGGTCTCTTGTCCGCGCTCGCCGAGGCTGGAGGCGGTGCTTCCCGCTCTCGTCCACCCTGAGCGCCTGCGCTCTCTGTAGCTGGAGGCGGTGCTTCCCGCTCTCGCCCGCCCTGAGCGTCCGCGCCCTCCGTCGCTGGAGGCGGTGCTTCCCGCTATCGTCCGCCCTGAGCGCTGTCGTCTCGCCCGTCGTCGGTGTCCCCCAGTACCTCACAACCCGCAGCGTCGGGCTGGCGCTCCAGAGAGCGCCTCTTGACGAGGTAGCACGCCGCTACCGTGGCTCCCAGCATGTACACCAGCATGGACAGGAACAGCAGCATGACGATGCCCATCGTGCTGCCGTCATCTTGGCCTTCTCCCGCGGCTGCGGTGTCCCCCGCTACGCCACCCACGCATGCTGCTGCTGCGACTACCCTCAGCATAGCCGCCGTGGAGTCGCTCACACGGCCAGCCGCGCGCCCTCTTGTCGCTAGCCTCATGAGCTTCAGCACGACCTCGATCATCGAGCCGTCCAGGTACTTCGCCCAAATGTCTGCTCGGTTCACCGCCATATCCAACTTGATCGCCTTCAGATCCTTCGTCCGCGCGCGCTCCTGTATCCACGAGTCCTGGATACGGAGATGCCGCACTCGGCCTGGCCCCACACGGTGGGCCATCCCCTTCGCGGCCGAATTGTCCGAGCCAGCAACTCCCTGCGCGTGGAACCCGCACGGCGCCCGGATCTGCTGCAACAGCATAGCAGAGGCACCCGCCCTGTTGAGGGCCAGGAGCTCTGCCACCCCGCCGGTCATCGCCATGTAGCCCTGCGTCGACGTCGTCACCTCCAGACAGTGGTCCCCAAACATCATCACCGTGCACTACGTGGACTTCGCGTCATCCGCTCCTGCCCAGTCGCTGTCGCCCTCGACGTCCGCCGTGACTGGGAGGTCCTGCAACGGGTGGTGCCACGCCGTCACTGGGCACCCCACCAAGTATCGTGCAGCGCGCTTGAGCCTGGCCGCAGCGAGCGGCGTAGGCTTCGACGCTTCTGCCATGATCATCTTCGCTGCGTACTGCACCTGCGGCACGTCCTGGGACAGGTAGGTCAGCACTCCGCCTGCCTCGGGAACCAACTTCTCGAGCCGCTCGTCCACGACCGCCCCCTTGGGCACGGAGGCGCCCGTGGCCTTCAAGCCTGGGCTCGTCTGAGGCTTCGTCGCGCCAGCTGCAGGTCCAAGAGCTTGAGCAGGCTGTCCACGCGCGAGTCATCTGCTCTCCACACGAAGCGAGGAGACGGAGTCACCCGCCAC